GTGAGCTGGCATATGAACCCAAGGAAAAAAGAAGTTGCTCATTTTGCTACTACCACTTGTGGAGGTTTTGTTTATTTGTTTGCATTGGAATGATTTGTTTTTGTCAAATAGCTTTCCCAGTGTAACGAACAGGCTTCAAGAAAAGTTGACCGTCCCTGCTGAAGAGCAGAGTTATCTGCAGCCGGCATTATTTTTGATATCCTTTCTTTAGACCTGTTGCTTCCTCCTCCTTGCAGATTACACTGAGCTTTTTCCCCTTCTTACACTCGTGGCCTACATTCCAGGAGATCAAGCCTGGCACATGTTAATGAATGTAGGTTTTATTTAGAAACATGACCACTTGTCACTGCTCAGTGTCATGTTATCAGGCAGAGACAACCAACATTTGTCTAGAGTGTGCATTTTCATACTGCTATACACAGACAAGGGGAAACTTTCATCCCCACGCAAGATTTAGCCTTTTGCTCTGAGAGCCTAACTTTTGCAAGTGGAAGCTTCATGGTGGTGGCAGAGGACCTGCGTGCCCTGAGGATGGCAGAGGATGGCTGCGTGGACACAGATCTCCCAGATTGTAACTGCGATGTCACAAGGCAGGCATCTCCTTGAGTTTCTTCCATTGTACATAGCTTTCATGTTACGTGGGGTTTATAGGGTAGATGCTGGAAACTTTAATCCAGAATTGTTTTTGCCAACATTGAGTGAAGATGACTGGTGTTAGGAGGTTGTTGGCCATGGACTCCTACCAGTTATTTGTTGCTTTGCTTTCTTGTCCACTACTAGGCGTGCAGAGCTGGATGAAAAGGTTAACAGACTTTATTCTGACTCGGTATTCCAGTTGTCTCTGGCCCATGTGCATCATGCAAGGAGTATGGCTACAGTAGAGAGGCTGAGACACAGGAAGGAGATTCAGAAAAAGACCCAGTTAGTCTGTCATCTGCTATTTAAAGGATGGGCTTCTGATGAAACTGAAATTCAGCCTTAGCCAGTTCACAGCTTTGTAGTTGAAAGCTTTCCCTTTATTAAATAAAAAGCAGATTTCAGGGGCCTGGAGGATTTCCTATGTGTGACAAAGTTGTGTTTGTTTGTAAGTAAATTTTA